TCAAAATGATCTCATACTTTTTTGTCTTTTTATCGATTGTGAACCAATAGGGTATGAAGAAGCGGTGAAAAATAAAAGATGGAGAGATGCTATGGATGAAGAGATTAAGGCTATAGAGAAAAATGACACGTGAGAGCTGACAACTCTTCCCAAAGGAAAGAGAGCAATCGGAGTTAAGTGGGTGTACAAGGCAAAGAAGAGGGCTAAAGGAGACGTAGAAAGATACAAAACAAGATTGGTTGCCAAAGGTTACAACCAACGGTCGGGAATTGATTATGAAGAGGTATTTGTTCCTGTTGCTCGTTTAGAAACCATAAGATTAATTATCTCTCTTGCAGCGCAAAATAAGTGGAAGATATTTCAAATGGACGTAAAATCAGCTTTTCTAAATGGTTATCTCGAAGAAGAAATCTATGTGGAGCAACCAATGGGTTATAAAGTAAAAGGACATGAAGGTAAAGTCTTAAAACTAAAAAAGGCTTTATATGGGTTGAAACAGGCTCCAAGGGCATGGAATAGTAGAATTGACAAGTATTTTCTAGAAAATAATTTCACAAAATGCCCTCACGAGTATGCCCTTCATACAAAGGTAAATAAGAAAGGAGATATTTTGCTTGTTTGTTTGTATGTAGATGATCTTATATTTACAGGAAATAATCAAAGTATGATCACTGAGTTTAAGAAGGTCATGGCTCAAGAATTTGAGATGACGGATATCGGCCACATGGCCTACTATCTTGGCATAGAGGTAAAGCAAATGGAGGACTGCATTTTCATCTCACAAGAAGGATATGCGAAAGAAATTCTAAAGAAATTCAATATGGAGGACTGTAAGCCCGTATGCACCCCCGTCGAATGCGGAATCAAGTTGTCGAAAAATGATGAAGGTGAAAAGGTAAATCCAACACTTTTTAAGAGTCTTGTTGGAAGTCTAAGATATTTGACGTGCACAAGACCAGATATCCTTTTTGGAGTTGGGCTCATTAGTCGCTATATGGAGACACCTACCATGACCCATATGAAAACTGCAAAGAGAATTCTTCGCTACATCAAAGGTACGCTTGATTATGGCTTAGTCTATTCATCATCTAATGAGTTCAAACTTGTTGGATATAGTGACAGCGATTGGGGCGGAGATAGTGATGATAGAAAGAGTACGTCTGGGTACGTGTTTTACTTGGGCGACACAGCTTTCACTTGGAGCTCAAAGAAACAATCGATCGTAGCACTATCTACATGTGAAGCTGAATATGTTGCAGCTACATCAAGTGTCTGCCATGCGATTTGGCTTAGAAACTTGTTGAAGACGCTTGGAGTATCACAAAAAGAGCCAATCGAAATCCATGTTGATAACAAATCGGCATTGGCATTGGCAAAGAACCCAGTATTCCATGATAGAGGTAAGCACATTGATACAAGATATCACTTCATAAGAGAAAGCATTGCAAAGAAAGAAGTGCAGCTAAAATATGTAACCTCCCAAGAGCAGATCGCCGACATTCTCACTAAGCCACTCAAGCATGATGTGTTCCGCAAGTTAAGAACTCTGCTTGGAGTAGCAAAATCAAGTATAAGGGGGGATGTTGAGTAGTAAACTTGATTTTTGGACTAAATAATATAAGCTTAAGGATTTTGTTTATAGGCCCAAATCAATTAAAAGGCCCAACATGCATAACATTTCTAGAAGCATTATCTAGAAAAATCTATATAAATATCTACTAGAAATATCTATGTAAATATCTAAGTAAGATATGTAGTTTTATAAAGAATATCTAGAGAATTCTAGGAAAATATCTTGATATGTGGTCTAGGTGTCTCTAGAAAATGTGTGGACTAGAATCTTCTTGTAAACACTATATAAAGGGGTAGTGCCCTCCATTTTGTAACAAGCCAAAAAGTGTGTAAAGTCTTGAATTTGAGAAATACAAGTTTCCTTTTTCACTTCCTTCTTCCTATTAGTGTTGTCCTCTTAAAAGCCTTAGCTAATCCAAGTTAGTAAACCCACCTTTCCTCCAACAAACATCACAAAGCAGCAGCTCAAGTAACTGAGAGAAGAAATTTTGGAAGTGCAAGAGTCTTTTCTTTCGAGATTATTGCAAGTCTAGACCGAAGATCAGCCTGTATGTGAGGGAGTGTGTTAATTTCGACTTTAGGAATTTATATTAGGTGGTTCAACATGAGCTCTATAATTAAGCCTCAACTCTTGGTTGCTACCAGCCTTTATTCCAGAATAAGTCTCAACAATTTTGTTTGTATATTGAGTTTTCTCCATTCTAATTGATTTTGGTATGATAATTGTTACCGGTTCATGGCCTCCTATTCATTGATTAACCCGCTAATGATAAACAACATTATTGTGTGTTATATTTTAATCAGGTAGGCCTAACCGTTCAATAGGAAAATCCATGACTCAATCATCAATCAAATTTGGATCTTTCTATTAGTCAAGTTCGTGATCGACAGGGTAAAAAATAAAAAAACCATTGACTTTTCTTAAAAAAACTTACCCAACTCCATTTTCCTGGTAGGGCATTGCTAATTGAAATTTTCATGTTAGCATTGAATAGTAGCTTGCCACTCTATGCTTCAAATTTCGACTTTATTTTTAACTGTCTTTTCCATAGCCAATTATTTTTTCTAGCTTGATTTTTACATCTTGAAATTATTTCCTCCTCTTGAGGTTTCGAGTAAAGATTAAAAAAACCCCAAGTCAAAATAGGACATAACCGTAAGTTTTGTCCCCAAATTTAACTTTAACCCAACTTGTGCTTATTAACCATTTATGTTGATGTACTATTTTTTTGCAAAACGACAATCAGCTCAAGATAAAGATTTTTAATGAGAGCATACAACTATATTGACAAGGAGGGTCTATGTGGGTCTTACTTTTAGGGATTTACTATCATCTATAAAAAAATAAAAATAAAAAACACTGTTATAAAAAGCATAAAGCGTGGCTAGGCGAAACTTTAAGGTTTACAAACTTAAGTGAGCCTAGGCGAGTTTTAAGCTTAAAAAAAATATTTTCTTGTTTATAATATTATTTTAAATTTTTAATCATTTTAAAAATTATTTAATAATTATAGTAATACATATTAAACATCTAAAATTATAAAATACAATATTTACTTAATAACTCCTGCCATTAGTTAATTATACAATTTTCATGTTTTCGAAATACAAAAATTAGAATATTTTTTCACAGTTTCAATTTTCAACTAGACAAATTCTACTTAATAGATTTATAGGAACTTCATATATGATTTTGGAGTTCATAATAAAATGAGGTTCAATATCATAATTATGTAATTTAGATAACACCAAAACTTAAATCTTATTTAGCTTTTGTTTGGCCCCCTTTCATTCAAGTTTTAATGTTAGGAATATTATTATTATTTTATTTTATTTTTTAAGAATGTGTGGTTGAAAAGAAGGAAAAGTTTTCGATTTACCTGTAATATTATTTTATGGAAGATTGTGTGGTTGAAAATAAAAGTGAAAAGAAAAAATTGAAAGAATGGGAA